CTGGTGCTTTGTTTTCTGACACAATATTGTCAGTTGCTCTGAAAAATATTTCAAAATTTTGGACACTCTGTTTAGTCTATTAATTTTCATATATTGTGAAGGTCTGGAATTTAAAGATATACTAATTGTCAAGCTTTTTGATTTAAAAACATGCTGGTAACATTTAGTTAGGAGAACAGAAGAAAGTGAGGAGGAATTTTTTTGACATTTGACTTCATTTAGCACCTCCACCCGGGTTTATATTAATAGGGAAGTTTGCACTTGTCCTTGATATTGAGGAGAAAATGCAAAAAGAAAGAATACTTTCCTTTATAAAAGTTACATTTAACTTTGCAGAGTTTTAACGCTGTCACAACTTATATTGCCTTCTCATATGGCCAGCTTAATTTGAGTACTGTTGCAAAAAGTGCAGCCTCCCTGAATTTATTTTTTTCTTGTGGTCCAGTTAAACCTTCTTATTTCTCCCAAATTAGCTAGCTAGCTTCACTTACTGTTCCTCAGTCCTGTGCCTGCAGGCATTTAAAGTTTGCAGTTAGAGGTGCTGAGTGGAGAGGGGCACAGTCACTTCCTAATAATATGATTTTGGTGATTAAAGATACTCTTGGAAGCTGCTGCTTTGTTTTTATTTATTTATTTTGAGGGAGGAAGGGGTGGGAGTGTGCATAACTCCCCCAAACCAATGAGATCTTCTGCTAGAATAGTATCTTTGTGTCCTTTCTGTACAAAGGAAAAGTCTTTGAAATGCCCTATATTGCAGCATGTGTTAATGAACCACATGTAAGGTACCTATTTGCTAGAAGAAAAGTTTTTAAAGCTCCAAATACCCTGGTATGTTTCAACAAGTGCTGTGGTATTTTTGTGTTTATTTCTTTTAACTGCTTGTCTAAGCAGCGAGTTACTGTGGTGGTGCAGCGGGCTTGATGGTGGAATTATCTGGTTTCAACGTGAGTCTGTCAAAACATAAGCTTGATGTCCGCAATGTGTATCAAAGCTTAAATAATATTCTACAGTATTCTACATGGGTTTTGGCTATTCTATTGGAGGAAAAATGTTGATTATTCTAACAGTGTAAGTATAAATGAAATTTCTTTTGTGCTGTCTCCTCCTTTCAGAAGCATATTCAATGAAGGCATCTTTATTATAATTCACTGCTATGATGATTATGATAATTTAAAATGTATTATCATAGTGTTTTTTTTTCTCTTTCAGATGTGCTGGGTGTATGTGTGCATCACAGGGAATGAGTGACATGCACAGATACTGGCAGGAATCAAAATACTCCCTAAAAAAGTTACTTAGATCAGTAATTTGACAGTAGCATTTTTTTCATCTATTGATAACTTTTGCCACAGTGCTCTGGCACCAGTGTGCATGCCAACTGCAGACATGATTTTGAATGTCTATATTGGTCATTAAAAAAAAAAAAAAAAGAAAAAACTTGATCTTGCAACACTTAGTTGTGGCATTTTCTTTGCTGGCCGTGGGATAACGTCTTCCTGCAAACCACCATCTTGTGGAACTGTGTGTCCTCAGAGTGACAGAGCAAATGCAATGCATTTATTTTGGAGAGATAAATGGATAGGTTCAGTATTGAGGCAGGCAACAACTTTGTCTCTTAGTGGCTCATACAAAAATGTGGAGAAAAATACTCTCTCTCTCATAAATAGAGAAAATGCCGGGATTTTTTTTCTTTGATCAAATTGTGAGCAAGAGCTCTCTGAACCCTGCCACCAGCATGTTCTATGTCACTTGGTGATGACACAGGGTGTGGTGCTTTTATGCTACCCTTGCAGATATGACTTCTCATGCAGGGATAGTTTTGTCTTGTCTTTTTCTTTTTTTTTCTTCTTCCCCTCAAGTAAGTTAAAGTGAATCAATTTTTTTTTTTTTGTAAAGTTTGGTACTCAAAATGTCATTGTGTAAAGATGAATGCTTTGTACTTCGTGGAGGAAAATGTATCATCAACTTCTAAGAATGATTGTACTGCCTTTCTCCATAGCAGAAAATTAATAGGCATCTGTCCAGTGTGGTAAAAGTATTTATTTGTAAGTGTTCACCTCTACGTTATTAATTATATTTGTGAGATGTATGCACATTTCCTCCTCTGTCATCCTCTTCCCAGGCCAGTAGCCTTTAAATTGCATATAAACTTGTGAAGCTCAGTAATTAGTGAAGCTCAGTCATTGCTCCTTTTAGCATTTTTCTTTCTTTTCTTTTTTTTTTCTTTATTTTTTTTTTGAAGAGCACATTATTAGAGCACTTACACAGCC